TTGTAAGTTTCCAAAACATTAATAACACAGAAACAGGTGGAGATAATTCTTACATATCTCATTTTTTTCCAATCACTTTGTCTGTACAGTTATTTTATTCTGATGATGGTAGGTTTTCTGGCACGTATAAACACTTTGTATATGTTGTGCAAAATGTCAAACATGCTGAAGCCTTTAAACAAGAAAAGAAGAAAAAAAACAGACTGACAAAAAGTCCACAAATCACTTATTTATGATTGAACGTAATGCTTAAGAATTGCAGTCTAAAAAAAGGAAAGATAAAAAAATCTATCGTTGGTTTCGTAGAATTACAAGCTGCTGTCATAGAGTCAGCTCTGGCAGCTGTAGCTCACATAGCTGTTGTCAGCGACATGAAAAAGACAGAGGAAGAGAGACACCGAGGGGGGAACAACATCCTGTGTCTAATGTGACACCTATCAAAACCCGGTGTATAATTTACACAGGAAGTGAAGAGCAACACCTGAGCCCCGTCTGTCAGGAGGCAGGAGACAGCTTGTAGCTTCAAGGATTTCACAGTTCACAGAAAAATGTGGTCTGGCATACACTTCTCACAGCAAGGATAGTGCTCATGTGTAGTCTTGGTTTTGAGTAAAGTCTTTTTTTCTCCTCCTGAACAAAACAGAGAATGGTGAGAAATGATATATACTTTTACTGGGCTCCATTTTAGTACATCTGCCACCAGATGTCACTGTTATCCATGACTCCCAAGTTCAGAGGGCAGCGATGTGAGCTGGATATCTTTTCCCATAAATATAGGATGCACCAGGAGCTGTGAGTTCACGAGAACTTAGTGCAAGGCTCTGACTTGTAAGGTGGTGAGAATGTGTGTAGACAGTGCCTCCTTGTGGTGAAACAGGAAATGACATACCCCATACCAGACATGAGTCAGTTATTGCTGTTTAACAGGCTTTAGAGAGAGTGGCAGTGCTCTGATAGTGAGATCACAGTTTGTTGGTTTAGGTTAACAATCTGTAGAGATCCTGGTATATATGTTGATTCAAGAAGATACTCTTTAGAGCAGGGGTCTCGAACTCCGGTCCTTGAGGGCCGAAATCCTGCATGTTTTAGATGTTTCCCTCTTCCAACACACCTGATTCAAATGATCAGCTCATCATCAAGCTCTGCAGAAGCCTGATAATGATCCTGATCATGTGAATCAGGTGTGCTGGAAGAAGGAAACATCTAAAACTTGCAGGATTGCGGCCCTCGAGGACCGGAGTTCGAGACCCCTGCTTTAGAGGGTAGCTCAAGGTAGGATGAGGCGTTTGAGGTAGAAAACATCTTAACATCATGTGGTTCTAGGGGTCTGTAGGTTGATGCACCATTTGCTAAACACTGACAGTTATCAATAACTTTTAAATTCATTGACATTAAGGAGCCCATGTAATATTCTATAGGTTTTCCATTTTTTCCAGTATGTTGTGTAGCTGCTTTTTTGTGCATGTCAAAGGTCTGCAAATTTACAAAGCTCAGCATCTACGGCAAAGGAAGTTATTTTCTTCCACAGAAAACCCTGCTTCTTACCAAGTGAAACAAACAACCTCATTTCAAATCCAGTCTTTTTTTGATATGTAACATAATTTGCTAAATGTCCGACACTGACAACACAACAAGGGGTAATCACGCATGCTCAGAGGTACGGAGACTTGCTTTAGCCGGGCCAGCTGACCAATCTGACTGGACTCTTATTAGACAGAAGCTAAAATGAAGCATTTAAGTAAACAAGGTGAGAAGTAAAATAGCGGGTTCTTTAACTTTTGCACAGATACTGATGTTCCCCAGAGGATGAATCCTGATGATGATGTTGGCGACTGAATGGCAGCAGATCAAAGTTGTGTCTTATTCAGAAAATGTCTCAATATCTACTAAATGGATTGGCCCAAATGTTTGTACATTTATGGTTCCTGGTGATATATCATCATGTAACTCAGTCATCTGGCCCTTCCTCTGGTTTTTACCAAACTATCTCAATTACTGCATGAATGCCACAAGCGTCGGTCGGTGCAGACGTTTATGTTCCCCTCAAGATGAATTTTTTTACTTTTAACAGACTTGTTTTTTTTAAAGAATCTTTTCACCTAGCAGCTTTTACAGGGCAAACTTGCAGCACTTTGATGTGTGATCAAAGTGTCTCGAGCTAATTAGCAACTGTTAGCAAGCTTGCATGCTAAAACAGGATGACGAGCATGATAACCATTCCTGTCTAGCAGCATGATAATGTGGCCTCACAGAGCTGCTTCCATGGCTGTGGACTTTCACATATAACCAGCTATTGTAATTTAAATACTAGAAAATCCCATTTCGATCAAAAATGGCTGGAGATTATTGCCTCAGGGCTTGATTCATGGTAAAGACAAAGGGGGGAAATGGATGGTACCTGTTTAACACTCTACTAAAGCTCCCCATCTGACAAAGATTACTTGTGATGAAAGACCAAAACCTCCTGCTTCTTAGTTTCAGAGCAGATCAGATCATCAGTTTGGGCTGCAACCTAAACGTTACAGTGAGCACAGTTTGTCTAGCTTGGTGTGATCTTAAGCTGACAGTGAACCGCTTAATGATCTACAGATTTTTCTGCCTCCTGACCAGTGGTGTCTTCTCACATAAAACCAAGCTTTTAGATGTTAACACGGGCGGCTGTGTGAGGAGAGAGGCCCTAGTTAATAGCCTGAGGCACTGGGGTGTGAGAACACATTGATCTCGCAGAGAGCGAGAAGCACTCCCAGAGCAGTCCTAAAGAGCCTCTGGCTTATATTTATCAAGCCTCTTCAAGTGGGACCGCTGAACTCGGATCAGCGGTTAGGTCACACCGCCATTTTAACTTCAATAAAACTACGACAGTAAAATGGGTCACAAATCATATATAGCGTAGTTGACTTTTTGAGAAACTAGACCATAAAAATAAAGATATCAGAACATCAATAAAACTAGCTATGTCATCAAATGGAAAATCAATACTCTAGAATACTTTAGATTTTATTGATAATTAAGATGTATAGTCATCAAAGAGACACCTCTAATAGTCCTGCAATTCCATGCTTCAGCAGTATTGTGGAGGCTCCACACTCGGGGAGGTTTAAATTAAATATAAAGATTTCTAATGAAAAGAGCAAACTCACCTTCTGTGTCAGCAGAAAAGACGGTCGTTTCTTCTGGTCAGAGAGGCTACAGACGACCCGCGAGTGTCCTTAAGTGTTGTGAGTTATGAAAAAAAGGGCAACGGATATGCAGCGATGTTAACGGAAAATCATTAGAAATGGAAAGAGTTTTTCAAGATATGTGACACTGATAAGAGCTTTGACCCAAATAAGAAAAGTGTTTGAGCTGCCAAATTAACCACTGCAACAGATTATTAGAAGAAATCTTTGGCTCCATCTAGTGGATGAACTGAAAACAGACACTGATTTCAGTTCTTGCTGCCAATATTATCAATTTTATGAGAAATACAGTTGAAGGCACTCACAATGGCATAAGGACTCAGGATGTGGACTTCAAAGGATGACTGTTCGAGATTAATGTATTTTTTAAATCAATAATGGATGAAATGACATTATTTGAAGCGACAAACAAGTCTGCAGTTCCACTCATATTTATAGGCCTCTTGAAATTCAGTCATCATGTAAAGTCCCTGTTTTGGTCGACCACTTACATGCAGTTTCCATCTGCTGTTTTCAGTTCTGTACACACAGACTCTTAAATACAACTTTAAAGATTTGACAACAGGCTAAGAATCTACAGCCATGTGCTTTGAGTTAAATTCTATTATCAGTTTGCTTGCATTGCTAAAATGCTAGTGTTAGCCGACACTAGAAGCTACGTTTGCCCCTTAACTAGTCTGATATCGGCTTGCCGTTACGCAACCCTCCATTTCTTCTAGCTGCTCCTTTGTGGATCTGCAGCTGCGCTTAGGATAATTATCCCGTCGAAAGGTCGTACTTTTAGAAAGACGGCCTCGCATTATCTTCAAGCACTCTGATATAATGTAGAATTTAAAGTTGAATCATCGTTGAAGGCGAGCTGCGCAGTCTGCGAGGCGGCCAAACAGCCTCCAGCCACGGCATTTCCACCACCACGCTTCACAGCTGGTGAGGTTCTTCTCCTGGAAAGCCGCCTTTGATCCGTGCTGAACATGACTACTGTTGCTGTGGCCAAACAACTCTGATCTTTAAATCATCTGTCCAAAAAGGCCTCGTTTTTAACCACACTCGGACTGACTTGGTAGGGCAGCCAGTCATGGAAACATACACCACCAGATTTCTTTTGAGTGGGTTGATTTATTTCAAACTAATTGGACATCTTTTTTATATTCCTTGCCACACAAAGAGGCATCCACAGCAGCAACTAAGTGCAACTAAGCACTTGTAGTGTCTGCAACTGTTGTTCTGATGCCTCTCTACCTATAGTCGGCGCTATCTTATTGGCTACACACTTTAAAACTTAAGGATACATGTTGAATAGTTCTTCTTCAGTTGCTGGTGTTTGTACTCATGTATATAAATGTATATCAGTTTCAAATACTGGTGGTCTGCCTTCTTAGTAATTGGTATCGACCCTGACTAAACTACGTCCCATTCTTTTATCCTGGGTAAACTTTCTTTGCCCTTCGTGGCAAATGTGCACTCATACACCACAAAATGGCAAAACAATCTTTAAATAGAAACTGTTACATTTTCAGGTAATTTCTTCTTCGGTGAATAGAAAAGTGAAGGCCTGGGGAGATAATACGACACAGAATTGCAAATGAAAGGCGGTTGAAGGACAGTTTTGGCTCTGAGAGCACAGCGGCAGCAGCAGGGAAGGAGCCCGATGATTGACTGGATGATGTGGGCACCGATGATTAAACCCAGGATGCTCCATCGTAAATACGAGCTAGACTGAGAGTTACAAAACAAGTCAAATCTTTTATCATACAGCTTTTACATCTCCCCAATGTCCTTTAATGTCTGAAATGTGTGCAAACAGAATGCGACACAAAAATGTAAGTGGCAGGCTTTTGAACTTTATTGGCATTTTTTGCAAGACATCGTCTGTCATTTGAATTCCAGTTACAATAAATGCATAACAACTGCTTTAGAGGATGTAACAAGGAGTATTGTGGACAAAAAAAATAGTTTGGCTGCCGTCTTGGGTTTTTTTTTTCTCCTTACTTATTTACAAAGAAAAAAAAAAAAATGTCTAGATTAATCCTAACATTACCCCCACTCGTTCTGGTGGATAAATCATGCAGCAGAGCTTTAATTCACTGAAAGATCTTGATATTGCTGAAAGAGGCTGTAGTGGGATATGACCAGTCAAAAGAGATTTTTTAAAAAAAAAGAAGAAGTTTGGCAATACTCAAGCTGTCACAGTTTAGGCTAAAAGCGATGAAACAAAGACACACAATAACAATATTATCATTTTTGAAAAATAAAAAGTGCAAAAGGCAAAATTATCCATTTGGGATGATTTAAGAATTCCAGTTGAAAAACTTGGATGGCTAAGATAACTTTTTGTCTTTTTTTCTACCCCCACATCAAGTTTAGCAGATTCACAAATCATACTGTACAAGTTCTTCAAAGTGCAAATATTATGAATTGGCATAAGCTGGTATATACATTTCATTTTCTGGATGACAAAAATAATCAAAAAGCATGTTTGTTTTTTTTTGGTTTTTGGTTTTTTTTACTTTGTCCAGTCAGGCTCCATTTTCATGACGCACAAGCTCGTAGACTCCTCATGCTCCATTCACACTGGACTGTAACCCCTGACTTCATCACACTCCCCCAGAAACCACAACGTCTGCTGATATTGTTCTTCTAATAATAACAGGATCAATGTCGCATCACCGAACGCTTCTCACTCCGTGAAAAGAAAAAGGAAGCAGTTGTTTTTCTTTTAAACTTAATCTAATCATAAAAGCTGAAATCCCAGAGAGAGATCCGTGTGTTGGGTTTGTCTACGTCATGCAGAGCATGCAGAACCAGTCACCGTTTAGCAGGTTTTATTGCGTTTTCCTCTGATTTACTGGTAGTTAAAATCGTTTTGTTGGCAAGTGTGTGTGTAATCAGCACCTTGGCTTTTCTTTTGACAGCCACCTGGATCTCAATCTGCGATTAGTAAAGTCTTCAGCTACGTCTATTTCAGTATCACAGGACTTTACACCCACAATAGTTGCAAGTCATCACAATAGGGTAAATTGCATAAGACTCTTGTACTCCGAAGAGTTTGTACTCAAGCCTGGCATGTTGCTGCACCGTATGTAAAATGCTTATTATGGAACTTGCACAGCACCGAAGCAGGAGATGCATATGAGGCCTGCTTTTGGGCCACTTTGTAGGGATCTAGCTCGTGTGTGGCCTAAAAACACTGTTTGATCTACAGTTAGCTCCTCTGTCGCTTCCAGATACTGCTTTGCCAGATGGCAGTCAGTGTTGTAGAGCTGAATGAACTGAGATGAACTTGTTGTACGCTGCGACCTATGGCCAGAACAAATGATTAGGTTTTGGTTTAATAGTATGAAGCAGGTGTGTTGGCAACATTCTTTTCATTTTTCTTTGATTCAGACTGAGAAAATGGCAACCAGTGCAGTGGTTAATGTATTCCTCCCTTTTTTTTTTAAAAATGTCAGGATGGATAAAAAATCCTTTCTGCATAGGCATAGCATGATAATTACTATCAAAGGGCAAAGGAAGGGGGGAAAAAAGCAGATTCTGGAGAACCGTTAGCGAGCATAAATCCGTCTCTCCGACAAGCTGGTTCCTTTAAACTGACATGATTTTTCTAAAAACTTTGTGATTTCAAACGTTTGTTCAAATGCTCAGAGAGGATGATGTTTCAGTTGGTGCTTTGAAAGTCCAATGATCAGGGCTTGTTTAACCGATTGGCTGTCGCAAGAAAGTTTTATTTCATACTAAGCTGGTGTCTGTCCTGTGACATATTCTGAGCCACGTCTGGTGACTGTAAGCAAAAGGGATCGGGCGTTTGATTTAAAAAGAATAAAAGCATCAGGTTATGTGATATGTAAACTGATCTATGCATATCTTAAAAGCATTTGCGTGCCCTTAAGATGACGATGCATTCACCGATCTCACCTCTCTTCGGCTAAATCTGATTTATTTTTTGCAGAAGAGAGGCTGAGATGTGAATAAGGATTTACAATGCAAAACTGTAAAAATGCTACGTCACAAATAATGTAAGACTTGTTCAAAACAACCTGAACTTAAGGAGGTGGAATGGCAAAAACTTCAAACTGTTTTAAGATATATTGTAATGTGCAACAGGTCAAAGAGAAATTCATGAAATGAACACACTTGGTTTGAGTCCTTACTTCTACTTAGTCGCTAATGTTGGAGACAAAGTTGGAGGGGGAATTTGAAGGCTCAGAATAGGTCGCCACCTCCTACGCGGTTTCTGTTTTAAAATTCCAAATGCGAGAGGTTTTCTCGTTTAGTTTTAATACTGCGGTCCCTGTTTGACAAAGGACACGTAATGTCATCAAACACGCGAACTAATAATGAGTTATTTGTGTGAGTGAAATTCATTGTGCTTAGTGTAACTCCTAAATTTTCCTCAAGTCATGTATCTCAACAGCTCTCCTGCTTTTGAGACACATGACGCAGAAGCTGGACTGGTGTTTGTTTCACACGATCCAGGAGACCGTGAAGAGCTTTGAATCAAAGGAAAATGAAAAACAAAAAAAAGAAAAAAAAAAAGTTGGGGGGAGGGAGGGAGGGAAGAGATCTGATCATCAAAGACGCATTTTTCAGCTCAGCTCAGAAGTGGAGACTTCAGAGTGAGTCGCGTTATGCTTTTAATGAGACTGGTAACACTTTCTCCCTACTTCTTTCCTTCAGTCCTTCCCCGTCTCCTCTTTTCGCTGCAAGGCTCCTCAGTCAGGTCATTCGAGGGGGAGGGAAGGAACTTCACATTGAAAAGGAATGGTGATGGCGTGGGAACCTGGGGGAAATGAGATCCACTGATTAGGGCAAGAAGCAATATAGCAGGCTGTCGGTTCTTATTAAAAATGTGAAGGTGAAGAAATATTAGAGCTGTGACGACATCGTAGATCTCAAACTTTAATTTTAGGAGTGCATTGGAGAGTTTGATGGAATTTGTCTTGTGTGAACTATACCTTTAGTAGAGGAAGAAGAGGCGTGTTCTATGGGAGGTGGCCATGTTCTCTGACATGTTGCGGACTTTAAGGTAGTTCACGAAACCTCTGAAGAACAGCAGCAGACCTGCGGAGGGAGGGAATTATTTACTCACTTCACAACAGAAGACCTCGCTATTAAGGTGAAAGTGAACTGAGTCAGCAGCAAAAACAGTGAAAGATTAATGAGTGCAATGTACTCACCAAGCAACAGGAAGATCCACCAGAGCCAGTATTGGCCGTTGAAGTAGCCGGTGAAGTAGTCCGAGAACTGGACATGGAGGAAAAGGTATTACAGTGTTATCAGAGGGAAATTATATTGAAGCTTCTCCTAAGATTTTTGACTCGTACAGCAGGGAGTCTAACTGGCTCAATTATAAGATAAGCCTGATTAAAAAGATCCTGGATAAAAGAAAACTGATAGATTATAGAAGGCCTCATCATTGCAGCTTTCTAATAAAGCAAATCACAAATAGTACATCTGCATGGCTGCTCTCACTCTGTCTTGTCAAACTGCTGGAAACATTCTGAGTGATGTTCTCTGGCAGTGTTTCAGATTCTTTTTGAGCTTCTGATTATGACACTCAGTGACACTGAGGACTGTCTGTTGGATGTAGAGATGCACATTTAATCAAATGTTAATCACAAATATGATTTTGGCTTTTCTAAATTAAATGAACATGATCGACAGATACTGATGTTTAAAATACGTGCCCTGCTAGTTCATGGCTCTGCTAGCAGAAGACAGCCAGTGCAGATAGAACGGGAGTAAATCTGACATTAGAGTAAAGTAATTTTTGGTTACCCTTCTGTCTGAATTGCATGTGCAGTAATAACTGAGTGGAGACACTTTGTGCACAGCTTGGATCTATTACAGTCTGCATGTGAGGTGTTGGGGACCATTGGTAAATTGTAGTGTCTATTGATAAGCAGATATTCAGCAAGTGAGGAGTTTTGGGTGCAGTTTGATTTATATTTGGCCTGAAGGAGATGTGCTGAATAAGAAGAACAACCATTTTTAAGTCTTATTTTGATGCCAAGGAGTGTAGCACAACATGAGAGTACAAGCAGCGCCAAGATTACATAAATATGAAAATGTGCTTTGTCCCTAAAATCAGTAAATAGGTGTGATCTCAAGATTGATCAAAATGATAATGATTAGGACTTCTGTAGTAAGATGGTTTGACATAATGAGCCAAAAACTGTTCTGCCAATTTAGATGTACAGCTTTCTACAGCCTTTTTAATGCCACGTAAAATGCAATCTAAGTACAGTTTCATGATCAAGTTAGATGCAACACCTGTAAGAACAATATGGCCTTGACTTATTTATCACTCTATATTTTTTTTCATACCTACATAAATGGTTGAAAGTGAGTGGAAGAAAAAAAAAAGTTAATTTAGGTCATGCATGTTGTTGCTAAAACTATGACCGGTGTCCTAGATTCTGTAGTTTGTACTAATAACAGCGTGTGCTACAGGTCTAACGGTGCTTAGTCAAACTGTCATACCAATCCCACATTTTGTTTTGAGGTGTTTGAATATCTGACAATTAACTAATGAAATGTAAAACTTCAAATGCTTTTAGAATCGGATGCATTTAAAAGATGTTTCCAGAGCTGCAGATCACTCAGAGCTGACCGCCTCTGACAGACACACAATAAACTGTTATGAAAAAGACTTGCCTAGTGCAGACGTTTTGTCAGAGCCAGCTTTAACCAGCACCCTCAAATATAATAGTAACCTCACTCAATGACACGTATGCTCTGCTGCTGCTGAAAATACATACCCTCACAATCAGAATCCACTTGATGAGGGAAAGGCCGAAGCCACAGATTGCTCCGTAGCGTCCTGCAATAGTGTTGGTCAGACAGAAGGACAGGCAGAACCCGATCCAGTTGAAGAGGAAGGCCACTAAAGAGACAAACATAGAGACAGATTGTCATCATGTACTCAGGAACACTTCTTTAGTCTGTCATGTAAAATTCAAAATTAGGGAAATACAAGGAAATATTTGTTGGCTGATGAGGGCAACTTGATAAAGAAGCAAATGAAAGATAATCATGTTAATCATAGTCCTGTTAAACACGACCTCATTCAGATTTTAGGTTAGAGTTTATTCAACTCTGTTGTCAAACATTCACATGTAGTGGAAGAGTGTGTCACAATCTTGTCAAAACAAACTGTGCCTCTGACCCTTTTCTGTTTGCAGCTGAAGGCTGTTTTTTGGTCAAATAAATAAAACATGAGACAGACTTACTGAAAAAGGCCAGCATGAAGATTCCATCATTTCCAACTCGAAGCTGATCAGCATCACTGAAATCATCTCTGGGAGGGAATTCATCATCCTTTATACGGAGACACAAACACATACAAAGGTTAATACAACTTTTACACATAATCAATAGATGAGTTGCAAAACATGTTTGCCTTCCTTCACTCACTCATTGCTGTACATGAAAAATGCCCAGTCATGTCTCTAAGTTAACTCTGGGGTTTTGAAACAGTGGGTTGTGTACAATAGCTGCTGTCCGGTATGTCAAAGCCGGTTAACTTTTTTTTTTTTTTTTAATGTACTTTAGCTTGTGGAAGAGGTTTAGTATGGGAACAGCCAAAGCTGGTAAAACAAAGAGACCATAAATTCCCAACTAAAGCCTTAAAGCATTTGTTGATGTCTGACGTAACAGAAGGGTGGAGTATTCTACACATGAACCTCTTCTGACACGCTTACAAGTAAACCTCACCCAGCTGACATACACTTAAAGAATACAGACCAGAAGATTCAATTGCAAATGCATCAATGGCAGAATATGTGACTAAAAAAGCAGAACACGTGAGTGTCTCTTTACCCGCGGCATCACCTCCACTGTGGAGGCAGCCATGGCGGCTGCTTTGGCCTTCTCCGCTTCATCATATGTGGGCAGTGAGGTGGCGACGCTGTAGGGCGGAGGCACTGGGAAGTCACCTTGGAAACTAGTCTCTGTGGAAACAACAGAGGAAGAGAAGGCTTGGTTTCGAAGGATAGAAATGGGACCGGACGATGTATCTAAGTAGAGCTAAGTTAGCTGCCAGTAATGTGGTGATGTCGTCATGGAAATCAATATGACTCATGGGTACAAACACTCCCAGTAGTTGCCGCAAACTTCCATGAGTTGACTTCTCGTTGCTATTTTTGGAAGCATGTAGCCACGCTTCGGAAGAAGAATTAGGAATTAGTAGGCAAAATGAAAAGTAGTACCAGGTGCCGCAGCGGTTGCTCCCAGATCAATGGAGGCGTAAGGAGGTGGCGGTGCATCCAACTCCCCCTGAGTCCTTGAGCCCGATGCCTCCCCTGCTGCGGGGTCGGGGGTCAGGCTGGCCTGGGCCTGGCTCTGGTTCTGGCCAGATGCACTGGCCTGGGCTGTGGCAGAAGTACAGGGCTGCTGCTCGCTGGTGGAGGCCTCCGAAGAGTCGTCCTCATTGTGCAACTGAAGGAGAGAACGAGAGGCGGTTTAGTTGAGTCGGCACAAGCGGATCAGCTGATCAGTCAGCCAAAAAGTGTGGCTGCTCGAGGGGAATGCTCACACTGTCCCACATTTCTGAAACTGGCACCAATCTTGTACTTTGTTCAAGGCAGAATGTGCAGCTTTCTGAAATTTGAGGACCTAACTTCATGTGAGCTGACGCAGGATTGTGTCAAGGTAGCCGCCATATGATTAAGATGTTAACAAGCAGAAAGGAAAGCAGACAAGTATGCAGTCAAGTTGTTTATCATTAGCTGCATTTTGGAGATTTTAGTATTGTCAGACGTGTACTGTTTGCTGAATGCAGCATCAGGTTTTTATTATATAACAAAATAAACAATCATGAGTTTTTGTAAGTCAGCAACTTCAGTTTTGTATTTTAACTCTGAATGAGTGGGTTGCCGTGGGCACAGCTACAGCATATGGTGATATTTTTCCCTCATATGTTAAGTATTGTTCATAACTTTGTCTGATTACGAGTTTCAGTTTCTTTCAACTTGTTTGTGGAGATGTTTTTAATTTTTAAGTTGCAAAATATTGTGCTCCTTCCACCAGAACTGAGCTGGTTGTCTGATTTTCTCACATCCTTCAGACCTGATTCTTAATCAACCATTTTTGGTCAGTATTTTTTTTTTGCAATAGCTTTAGATTGCTGTTATCTTCACTAATTACCTCTCTATGTAACAGTTTTTATTAGCGCCATTCCCCACCCTGCATTTAGACTGCTTACATAAGCATGAGGGACTCACAAGAAGTGATACGTGTATTTGATGCAGCACAATTTTATCTCATTGGTAGCAGCTTCGTATCAGAGTTGTGTTAAATTACTGCCAATGCAAACCGAACAATTCCTCGAGCATTTAACTGTCAAAACACGAGGGGGCTTTTATTGTCGAGCTGCCACCGGAGATGCAGGTTTACAACGTTATCCCAGCACAATGCAAAGCATGTGCAGGAGTAAAATTACTGCTAGTGTTTGTCTGCAGTGGAGGGGTAGGAGCAATTGCCCTCAACAGAATGTTTGACACTGTACGCGCCGACATTGGAGGCCGGATCGACATGTCAACAGAGGAAGGTCTTTGGTAAAGCGATCCACATGTAAACAGTTAGCGACGGGCCTTGCTACATCTGACGGAGTCATCCACACATTGAAGTGGATTGATTTTTGTCAGACCCAAGAGCCAAACACCTTCTGAAATTACAGAGGGGGTGATGGGGACACGGTGGCATCAGAATGGCTCGCAGGGAATCTGGGACCTCCTCTGTGACTAGCATCAAAGTGCCCTTGAGAAAGTTAACGTTACCCAGACAGCTCCAGGCTAATTTTCTATTCAAAAATATCAATTAAGCTGACACTGACCCCGACAAAAGTTGACATTTTTGTTCAGCAACAGGTGTAAGATTGTGTGTTTATTATTTACAGACCTGCATCTTATGACAACGCCGTGTCACTAAGTGTTAGCAGATAAAAACCACAGACTGACTGTGCGTCATACTGCAGATATAAAGCAAAGATCAGCATAAGCTGTCCCAAGGTGGATAAGCAAGTTCAGCTTGTTCACAGCCTTAAAGCAAATTCCTCAACAGCACAGTAAAGGATAAGTGCCTGAGAGTTGTTAGCACACGGGCACAAAGGCACAAAAACGGAAAACAAAATGTCCAACTCAGTTCAGATGAATCAGTGTACTGTTATGCTGGCTTGTGTGGACACACACAACATCACAACCGTTCTTCCTTTAACTTTTCCCTACCTTCATTAAGCTTCAAGTTTGCAAGATCTCTTAAAAAATACATTTGGTGGCAACTAAATGCTGAAACTAATTTTAGTTGTGTTTTTCAAGTTAACTAGTTGCGGTTGTGGGGGTTTCCCCAACTTATTTCTCAGATCTGATTGACTGCAATAAACATTGCGTTTGAAAGGTTAAATCACCAACTTTAATATTTTCCATGATCGATTATCTGGCTGTGGACTAAAAACACTCCAACCAGGGGAAAAACCTTTTGCAATAATGACAGTTAAAACTAATAATAAGTAAAACGGGACTCGTATCAGAAGAGTGTTTTGAAGAAAACAGTCATAGTTATAGCGAAATTTCATCATCATCATCATCATCAACATCATACAGACAAACCTCTATAAAAAAAAAATCTTGGGAACTGAAACTAGCCTTTAAACCTCCACTATCCCAGGGTCGGCGCGCAAGGCACTGAGTGAATGAGGCTGACGACTGGCTCAGAATCAAGGACAAAGCATAACACACCCCCGCGCACAGGGGATTACATAAGATCTTAACAACATAGCCACAAGCCTCCTCGTGTGTCCAAATATACCCAAAACTCATGCAGGCCTGCTCAGAAGCAGCAGTGGCCTGTACGTGCAGAAATATTGCTTAGGAAAAAAACACGGCGAATGCAAAGAGTAGGCACAATGAGATGAAGATTGGGCTACCCACAACATCAGATAACTCCTCAGTTTGGGCTGAACGTGCTGACCTGTGCAGCCACTATCTACATGATCCTTGAGAATCCACTATACAGATCAGCCTGTACTGTGTTGTTCTTACAAAAAAAACCTGCTGCTTCTTAGTTCAGGGTTGGAAAGTGAGACACTGATTTGCTTTGGCTCACACTGTGGGATAATAGGTGATAAACCCAGAATCACAGGCATCTGAGCAACAAAGCGGGCTTTATCTTGTGAGCCACTATTGTTACTTTACGAGTCTGTTATGTACATACGTAATAATGCATTCATAACACAAACAAACTGCACGTGTCTGAGCAGGTTAACACAAACAGTAGCCACATGAAGAGGCTGGTGATGTGTTCAATGTCCGCTTTGCCTGTAACAAGAAGTGGTAGCAGAAGTTTCAGTCTCATTAACTCACGAAAGAATTTTAGTATTTCTGCCAAGGCAAATATCAAGTCATACTTAAGTAGTTACTGTGTTATAAGTAACGTATTAGTGCTGTTGCTGTCTTTTAAGACGCCACTTTAACCGGGGTGAAGTTATAATTTAGCCAAATGACTTGTCAAAAAAAAACGCATTAGATATTAGTCAGTTAATTAACTCCCACTGCTAACACTGGCTAACAGCTAAGCTAGTCAGCACCTGTGTAAGCTTGACAACAGCCGTGCTATTTAACCTGCTTTTTTGCTGTTAGCAAAGAGAAAGTGGCTTTTAAGTGCGTTTTAAGTGTGTAATATTGTTTAAATGACGTTAACTTGAACGGCCTACGTGACTAATTTTAGCTAACATGCTAACGTTAGCTGGTTGGCTAAAGGCTAGCTGCCAAAACAAAACAATTTGAGGGGAAATTGTAAGAAACGCCACAGAGGTAAACATCCAGAGGTAATTTTACAGGCTATGCTTTGCCGTTTTATACTTTTTTAATTAAACACTTAGCGTTGTATTTTTATTTTTTTTAAACCCAGGCCTTGTTTCCTGAGACTAACAGGCCGAGCTAGCAGGCGCTGTTGTGGTTCACTCACCACTTGGTATCGGCTTGCTGGGTCCATCCCGACGACGACGTTCAGCTGGCAGGCAAGCCAGCCGAGAACACAAAAGGGGGGGAAATCTGACTTGTGTGTAGTCCGAGGTCTGTGTCACGGACGGGAGACGGTTGTTTTAAACCTGGGGCTGGAGACACGGATTCCGAGAAATGGCTGCAGCGCTCAGTTCACCGAGGAAGAGTCAGTTAGTGGAGAAACGGACGGAGTCAAAGAGCCGCTGTGAGGCCGCACCTCCCAGCAGGACTCTTCAAAATCAAACTAATGCGGCACCTGAATACCAATAACTACGAGTTAGTTACTACTTTGGTAAAAAGTAATTAATTAGTCCCTTATAGTAGGATAATAGGAAGAGCAAGAAGAACTGCACTAACAATAATAGTAATGAAATAATAATAATAATAATAATAATAATAATAATGAAAAAAATAGAAGTTTTGTCCATAAAACTGTATCAATAAAGTATTTTTTGAAAAGACTGAAACATTACAAAGAAGAAAAACATTTAAAAAGACCAATTATACAAATGCCAAACATTTTCAGTTATTATTGGTGGAGTTTTTGGGGTTTTTTGGAGGGGAAATTAGTCAGTTACTAAATATTTACATTTTAAAAAGAGACTAAAACATTAGAAAAGACAATAAAATAAAATAGGACATTACAAGAAGACATTAGAAAATATTATACACGTGCCAGACAATATTATTATTATTGATACTGTTATTGATGATATAGTTTCTCTCCCTCTACAGTATAAAACAGATCAAAACATTAGAAAAGACAATAAAAAAACATGATAAAATATACAAATTCTAAACAATACTACGTGCTTCTGTTATTAAGAAGCAATTCATTACTACCTAGGTAATAACTAATGAATGAGTTCATCTATTGCTTCTTTATAGTGATAAATACAAGAATAAGAACTACAGTAATGAAAATAAAATAAAATAAAATCCACTGCACCTGTGCATGTTATGAGGATAGACACAAAAAAACACATAAAAAGAGACAAACAGAAAAGAAAACAGATCAGAAAAGACATAATGCAAATAAACGCAAACGTCAGATTGTATTATTATTATTGTGGGCAAGAACAAATTTGTCATTTATGTTAAAAAAATCATCATTTTACTTTGTGTTTATAGCATAAGTGGAGCTATAAGATGATCTACAAAATATTAAAGCTTTAAAGCATCCAGCTTCATAATTTTGAATACTTTCTGGTTTCTCTTTCTTCCTCCGTGCATGAACAGAATAAGGATGTTTACTTTGAAGGCAGCTCTTCTTGTCTCCAACTGCAGTCTGACTCTGGCTGACTTGATGATCACGGATTTCCACAGAAAAAGAAAGCCTGATGACGCAAATACACACAGGAAGGAGTGAATTAGTTTGACCACTAGGTGGAGCCAAAGCCTTCTTAAATCCAGGTTTTCATAATCCATGAAGTCTGAGGGAGAGAAATATACCTCATTTCAAAATTCCCTAAAGTGGTTAAAAATTCCGAGCAAATGCAGCTCTGATTTTTCTTCTTTGAATGTAAATTATTGAAGCAATCGACCGAAGTGAAGAATTTCAGCCTCCCAACTCAGAGCCATAATTCATGTCGCGGCGCGTTGAAATGCTGTCCTTGAGAGGAACACAAATGTGTACGTAGAATATGCGAACAAGAAAATTCCACACGTGACGAAACAACCTCAAGGTCCACTCGTGAGCTTCAAGGTAGCCTTGAGGTTGTAAGTCAACACAAAGATGTGGCGCTGCTACATTTCCAGCTCACATGCTGTGAAGCAGCCTTTGGCAATCAGGTTATTATTCATAAGTCTCCATTGAAAACCTTGTGAACTTTAGCATTGCTGCTTACACAAGGTGAGATCTCCCCCGTAAAAACATGCAGGCCCCGAGCTCTTAAAAAACACCCCACTCCTGCAGAGAATAACCTCAGATAGATTTCATGTTTTTTTCGCTCTTGGCTGTGAGTGTATTAGGAGGATTGCACTCTGCAATATGTGGCCAACACTAACAGCTCACTGTCAAATAAACAGGAATAAAACCGAGCTGTTTCACAATCGCTCGTTTCGTAAAAAAAAAAACAGCCGTGTTCTTGGGCAACAGGCTGACCCAGAACCAACAAGTTAAGATTTTCAAAATGTCCCCAGCAGAGGGGAGGCAGGTTTGTGTCTTCTGAAGTTTACTCTGTCATGTGTTCTTGCCTCTGGGGCTAATCCTGGATCAGCATTGCAGTGGATCAGAACATAATAGGCTCTTGGTACCTTTATGAATGTGAGCACCGGGGGTTTCAAGGATAAAGCACAAAGCGATCCAGAAACCGTTACAGGTTAAAGGGAAATGTTGGTGTTTGTATATGAATATAAGAAACAAAGACATGCATTGCTAATAGATAATTCTATTATTTTGCACATCTATTCAGTTGTTCTGATGTGTTGCTGATAAATTCTCCCTCCGAACCATAAAAAAAACTTTACAGCAGAACTTTCTACTCTCCTATCAGCCTGATCTGTCACACGAATACACTTACTCTTTTGCCAAGAGCTGGCGAAAGCCACCCCAAACAGACGGAACAATGAATGCATGAGGTATTGATAAAAGGCTCTTCTTGAATTAAATATTAATCCCATTCGCTAAGAAGGGGATTACTGTAGTATCAGTTAAGCAGCTCGTGCTGTGAGGGAAGAAGTGGATGGAGTGAGTGGAAGAGGTTAGGAAAGATGTGAGAAGGACACGAGGTAAGATTCGAACCAAAAAAACAAACCAGCGGCAGCATCGTTCACTGTAAAGTGTTCTGCGCCGTGCCAGGCAGCGGCATTAGCAGCATTAAGGATTAATGTGCAGTAGTGATAGATGAGTTCCTGCCTGCACCTCTCTGAAGCAGCAAACCTGCATGAGAGTAAAAAAGGAGTGGAAGTCATTCACCCGGCTGCTGCGAGAACCCCACTTTCAGAGCCAATAATGGCACTTTAGGACATCCATCACTGACACACACACACACACACACACACCCACTCACGCACACACTCGCCTACCCACACGCCACACAATTGGGATGTTGTTACTTGGCAACATCATTTCAAGGTAAATAGGTGCTATAAAAAGGTGTTATATAAAGAAACAGTGGGTGTCTCTGTCAGATGCCGCAGCTTTTCAGCGAGGCAGACTCATTCTTATGCTGCGAAAGCTTTGCTATTTGACTGGAGGTGAGTGTTTTGTTAGAGGCTGATGGAATCGTGTATTACAGGAGAAGACATCTGTTAGTTTTGCGAGGATACAGGCTGCAATTTAATTGCCTAGCCGCGGCGCATTTTGGGGCGGATTTACATTTTACGTGCGGTGAAATGGCATTAGGAAGGAAGGCTCTGTGGAAGACTTCAATAGATTTACAAAATGCTACACAGGAGTGATAGTAATTCAGTCTCTACAACATCAGCAGTGAAGCATTGTATGTAAAGGGCTTGTGTGGAAATGCATTAAGGGTGCAGATGGGGAGCTACAGTGGATTTTTTTTTTTTTATGGATATCAGTGATTATACAACTCAATCAACAGCCACTCTGAGCTTTGCAAAAATGAAAATGTGTCATATACGGCTGCAGAGTGGAAAGAGCTGTTTCATTTTTGTCATAGATGATGTTCGGCAGCTCTTCTGCAGCTCGGATCAGTATGAAAAATGGAAATCTATGGTCTTCAGAGGTAGAAACCTGTGTTTATTGAAACATCAGGAGATAGCTTACTGCAACTGGAGCACACCAGCTCACCTACTCAAACATGGCAACACTACTCTATGCTGCCCAATGGAAAGTTGTAATATGGGAGTAATTGACAGGATTGGTTTGATTTCACTCATAATGTGTCTTGGAGCTTATAAAAGCACCACATATGGTAGCAAGGTAAATAAAATTCACCCGAGTGGGTCTTTAAAATTCTGTGATATCAGACACTAACGTCAACTTATATTAAAGATTGAGAGAAAACCAGCGATACATGATGCAGTTTGGATCAATTTACTTGCTTTCTATCAGTTTAGGGGCATCTTCTGCACGGCAACAGCCCAGCAGTTCATGAGTCTTGTAGTATTTAAACCTGTTGAGACGTAAAAATTGCTGGAAACAAATTAAAATTAATTGATAACTGACGGCTGTAACATGAACCTGACTCATGGTTACATCAACTAGAGAGATGCTTTGTATGAAATAACATTAAGGTCATCGTTTAAAGAGCCTACAGGGTGCTTTTTGGGGTTCTACGTCTTTTTAATGTGTCATATAGCTGATTATTTTTTTAATTTTTGGATAAATTTGAGAGATAAGACAAATAATATTTCAGTTTTTATGCTTCTTAGTTGTTAATGATAAGACTCTACTCCTTACAACTTTCTTACAGTCCCTAAGTAAAAGGTAGTTTTTCCACATGACGTCCTCTATATTACTCACTTCTCTTTTTTTTTTTTCACCAGTTGTCACATTGATTTTCTGGATGGTTAAATGAATGAAAATCTAAGTTGTTGTTTTTTTAAATAAGCATATGATAAAATAGTAAATAATCAAAGTGACAGTGACAAAAACTCCAGACTGGCACTCAGGTATCAAATCTATAAAATCTCCCCCTTTTTAACAGGAAACTATGACAACACTGGGCGTAAAGTAAGCTGAGTGCTTTGTGGCGATGAAGAAACCAGCTTAAAAACCACATGAGCACAGTTTTGAGAAATTCTCAACTCGGTGACCTTCCTGTTCTTTCTATTACGACTGAACCAGCTGAGGGTCAGAACCGTTTTAATTCTTATCAGCTTCTGAGTGAACTTTCTTGAACTCATTTAATTCAGTTGTCAAAAACACACGACTAATCTTTTTTTTTTTTCTTGGCCTTTCTGTGGACAAAGTTGGGTTTGTGAAACCGAATCGTTGCCTGTCACAGAATGGTGTATGTTCAGTGAGTTTGTTTTAAGAGAAACTGTTGTGTACTCGACTATAAATGCAGCATACGGTGCTTTGGCTTGGCTTTGTTAAAATTAGCATCTCTGTGACAGAAAAACTCAGTCTTCATGATGATACATTTTCCAATCGGAGACTTTATTTCTCATATATGTTAAATTGCACACGTGGCTGCACCCTTATCTGTGCTGAGTAAAAGACTTCTTTGGTATTACTTCTCAGTCTCCCCTCTGAATAGCACCAAATCACATTTGC